AATGTGGTGTTACCGGTGAATAATGAGGATACAGTGGAAAGAGAAAGTCAGAAATGAAGAGGTATTAGAAAGAATAGGAGAACAAGTATCCTCTATGGAAGTCAATAATAAATACGCGAGATAGGTTGATAGGACACCTTCTTAGGCATGAAGGTCTAGTCAGAGACATATTAGATGCAGAAACAGGTCTTAGGCGGGGTAGAAGTAAACCTAGATTAAATTACTGTTCGCAAATAGTAAAGGATCTGGGTTGTTCTGGTTCTGGGGAAATGCGAAGAATAGTTAAAGATAAGAAGGAGTGGAGGTACGTGTCTAACCAGTCCTGGGACTGACGATCTTAAGATGAACGGATGTGGAAAGCAGGTAGTTAAAATTAACATATCTCCATACAATTTATTCGGCATTTTTATAGAAATTAATTTTACTATTCACATTACCACGTTCGTTCTTTAATAGTGCATTACGTATCCAGGGATGAAAAAGTTCTTTTCAGACTGTATGCCACCGGAGCCGAAGGCAAGGGTGGTAAACATGCAGTCTGAGATAACCCTGTTCCTTTCCAAGGTACGTATACTATTTTTTGTCAAATTTGTGTGGAAAGCTCGTTATTAAATTGATAGTTGGCCAAATAACACCAAATTATTTGGATGTTAAGTGATTGTAGACTGAATCACCGTCAAATAACTGATTTCCGCGCATGCGCTCAATGACTAATTTCATTGCCTCTCCGATTGAAAAACGGCTGAAAAAGAACCATATCTTCCCTAATTCATAGCACGCAAAACGAGCTTTCTGTGGTAACATGACAAAAGAAAATATTTTCTGACTATGATATTTTAGAGTTAAAATAATAACTAGGTTTTAATTTTAATACAAATATTCATTTGCAAAAGGAACTCCTACAATGACATTATTTTTTTCCGGTAATAACGTCATATATCATGTACAACGTTTTCTATTTTGTAGTAATTGGCACCTACTTATATCTTCTAATACGTATTAGAAGAAAATTTCAGTGATACGTCAATTTTTGATTGCGGAAACGCGCCACTCGTCCGGGTGATTTCGGCCAAGGCGTCTGGGTCGGATGTGCCAAGACGCCTTAATTTCCTTCTCTCGCTTCTAGGTCGTAACACGGTTAAAGGTAAGTTATCGTCTGTATTAGTCATAGCGGAGCGCAATTCACTCAAGCGTATTCCGGGTAATTGTCTTATGAATGTTGCCGGAGGCGCTATTGTCCCCGTTGATTTATAGAAACAAGCGAATTACCATGAAATGAAGCGTCTTGCTCTCACGGCTGCGAAAACGTCATTCACAGCACCGACCGATAAAATATCATTGAATACAGCTACAGCTTAACAGAAATAGCTTGGCTCCTGAGATTTAGAGAGAACGGCGCAAAAGAGAGAAAGAATGAACATTCGGAAGGAAAGAGATGCGGATTACCGCTCGGTATTTCTCGTATTATACAAGTAAACTTATCCCAGGGTGTTTTAATTATATCGGTAATATATACACGAAAACTAATAATACCCTATAAAAAATAACTAGAATTGTACTACATTAGGTATATAACAACATGCAGATCTTCATTTGAATTCCGTCAAGAAGAAGAAAGGTGTACCAAAACATTAACGTTTCAATACAACACACAATAATAGATTTTGTGGAAGGAAAGAAACCAGTTGAAACATGCTTAGAAAATTTGCAATTCAATGTAAACTTTATTTAGGTCATCATCATCATTAGTTGGTCACTCCTAAGACTGCTCCTCTTAACTCCCGTTTCTGCCTCTAATGTGTCTCTAACTAGGCCTTCATGCCTGAGAAGGTCTCCTATCAACCTATCTCGTCTGTTTTTTATTGACTTCCATAGAGTCCTCTGATCTCCCATTCTTTTTAATACCTCTTCATTTCTATCCACGGCATTCTCATCATTCGCCTGTAACATCACATTTCGAACGCTTCTAACCTTTTCTTTTCCGCCGCACCCACTGTCTTTGTTTCGCACCCGTAAAGCGCCGCTGTCGTTGGCAGGGATAGAAATCACTTCTTTTTATTCAAGGCGAAACGATCCTGCGTTATTCTATGCTTTATATCCCTACTACTCCTTCCGTCCTGATCTATCTGACTTCCTAAATACCTAAAATCAGCTACTTCTTCTAATATTTTATCCCCTATCTTTATATTCGCTCTTTTCCTACTTTTTCTTCCCTTGCATACCAGTATTTTTGTTTTACTTTTATTTATTTTCATACAATACTGTTCTGTCAATAACGTTTCCATTGTATTTAAAGCTTTAAGCTCGTTTTAGTGCAGTTCCATTCTCTCTCTATGTCCCTGTCTTTCGTTTCTCCTGCCTGTTTTAGTATTTTGTGTGTCCTTGTACCTAACCTATCCCGCGTTTTAAGAATTTTCAATTTAAGATTGGTCTTCATATGTACTACGTTATGATCGCTATCTATACCTCGTCTTGGATAACACCTACAGTTCTTCACTTGATTTTTAAATATTTCCCTAACAAGTATGTAATCTAACTGATATCTCCCTAAATCACCTGACATCTTCCACGTAAAGCGCCTCCTAACGTGATGGTTGAATAAATTATTCGCGACGGTTAAGATACGTTTATCGCAAAATTCTATCAGTCTATCTCCCCTATCATTTCTATTGTCTAATCCAAAAGAACCTGCTATTGCATCGTTTACCTATTATTGCGTTAAAGTTTCATACAATTATTAGGCTTTCCTGCTCTATCACTAAATTTAACACGTTTTCTATATCTGCGTAAACCGCTTTAATGTCTTCATTATTGTAAGATAATCATGTAGGCATGTAAACCTTCACTATTACCGTTCTTACCGGTTCGAGTTTAATTTAACACTAACTATCATATCGCTTTTTCGTAAACAACTTTTTACACTCTGTCCTGCTATCCTACGCATTACAATTCCAACCACGATTTACCTTCCAGCGATCCTCCACCGACTAATTAGGTACCGTAAAAAATACTTTATTTTGTAATAAGCATACATTCTTCTAAAATTCATTAAGTTGTGTACCTACTTGCATTTTTAATTAAATTTNTCAATATAATAGATTTAATCAGCTTCATTTTCTTCTTTTTCATCATCTTCTGTATTATTCTCATCATTTTCTGAATCATCCAGTTTATCGCATTTTAGTGGAATAAGGCAAAAAATCACGTACGTTAACCACTCTAAACAATCTTGCATTTCAACAACGGACTCCGATATCGAAAAAGGTTCTGAAATCGTTAATGAAGAGACAGTTAAAGAGATCTTATGTGTATAACTAAATCTAGGAAAGGTCCGTGTACAAATCGTATCGAATCTCCTCTTACCCGAGAAAAGGTAATGGTAAAGAAACTTGACGCTTCAAAGTGAGGGTCAATACATTCGATAAAGTGGACCAGATATACTGCACCAGTTCGTACATGGGACCGAGCGGCATGGCCTAGAGGTTTAGACCATTGCTTAGTATTCGGGAGGACGCCGATTAGATTCCGGGTCCGTCTGCCTTGGTCCAAGTTTTCCTGTGGTTTCCTCGGATCACTTAGGCAAATGCTGAGGCAATAATATTCCACAGATAATCTTCCATTCTCTTCTGTCTTCATTTCGCCCGTCTCATCTTTCTTACCCGAACCACCACCCACTCATTCCCACGATTCCTGAAAGCAGGCTGAAGAGGGTCTTCCGCCCCACCTTCCGGCGTAGTCCGGAGGGACTGCTCGCCCACCAGCATTACTGGCTGGTGGGAATGAAACATCCAAAAGTTTTAAAGTTTTTAACGTGGGAGGTACTGAAAGTAAGATTCACCGGGAGCAAAACATGATTGATTGTTTGGTTCTATGCGTATTCGATATTATAAAATTAAATTTGGTAAGACAAATATTTATTAGACACTGTTAGAGAGTAAGAAGAGTAACGTAATCAAAGGTTGATTTAGAACTGAAGAATTTTGAATTTGAATAATTTAGGAAAATTATGAAGGTGGAGCTAAGGGAACAATAGTGAGATAATATGATTTGGAAAATTCCGAAGACAGAAAATATAGAATTAAGTTGTTGGACCCAAATCACCAAAGAAACCCTTCATAAAATAGCAATTAGAAAGGACAGCGAAGTATAGACGTCATGCGGTTAGTATGCGAAGTTGAAATGTTAATAGGGATTATAGAAAAGTACAGTAATACAGTCATTTGCACAGATAGGTAGAACACAAAAGCTTTAGAAGATAATGTTTAGAATTATTTACACAAAAGATTTACATATTTACTCAACGACATTATATATACACTGTGCTTTAGTTGATGCTGCTCGCTACAATTGAATAAATCGACAATCAAGGCAATTCTAGGTATTTTTTTCTATATTCGAGGTGTTATTAAAAACGAATCAGATGCAACACGTGTGACTATTATTTCGAAAGCAAAGGCCAGACTTTGGGAAAAATAATTCATGGATTCTTCGCAGAAACAACGCTCTGGCCTACAATGTGTTCTCTTTCAGATGTCCTTCGCCAAAAACTACACGCTTTGGTTCGAGTATCCATTGTTTTCACGTACATATCTTTTTGCATCTCTCAAAAATCAAATAAAGGTATGTTAAAAAGAACCCATTTTCAGCCTGTAAAAATCGTCAAATAACAAAATGGCGCAGATATTAAAAAGCATGTTGAAAATAACTTAAACACTGGTTCGAACAATGGAGAATTTGATTGCAACTGTTTCCAGTGTAATATTCATTCAACTATAATATTGTTCTGGGTTTTTTGACACACCCTGTATATTATATGTATATGTTGTATGTAGATAATCATTCTCATTTTGTTTAGCAGACAATAGTTTTCGTGACATGCACAAAAAAACTATGAGGGCATAAAAATGACTTCCATTTTTTTGCAACCAATAATTTGATAACGTCTCGCTGATACCGTTTATATAAAAAGTTGTTTTTCTATTTGTTTCAGACTCTCCGTTGACAACCATATTTATCTATTGAAGTTAAGAAGGGGAAGTATATACTGAAAGCAGTAGTAGGTAAGTGGTAGCTTTCATGGGGTGGAAAATTTAACGAGACATCCAGAGTGACTTGCAGCGTAAATAAGTGTTTACCGGACAGGAAGTGAAAATGTACGAACTTCCGATGTATCAGTGGTTTCAAATGTCCTTTCGAACTCGGGCTTCTAACAAAGGATAATACAAACGTAAAAATGGGTCTTTCTTCGATATGGACGGTACTTATTTTGTCCATTTTATTGGAGCACACGCTGGATACATTCACGCAAGGTAAGTGAATGTTTAAGAATAGTGTTTTTGCATTGTTTTTATGGCGGAATACATTTTACATAAAATATAATTTTGATTACAATAAGGCGATCTTTGTACAGCAAGTGTGGCGATTTGATAGTGTTTTTAAGAAAATAATTAATTTTTTAAAGTGGAGTATTAAGTGTGTGGTTGTATATATTTTTTGGTATGTCTGTGAAAACTTTATTACTTGTATTTGTGTGTTTGGAATTTCTGTATTGTTGTATTATTATTGTGTAAATATTCTTTTCTTATAATTCTATTTCTATACTTACTCTATTCTATACCTGCTCTATACCTATTCTTCAGCTAAACGACTATTTAATTGCCTACGTACTTTCCTATCATCCCTTTTAACAATTCAACTCTGTATACTAACTGCATGACGTCTATAATTCTTACTTTTCCTAATTGCAGTTTTATGGTCAGTTTCTTCGGTGATTTGGGGTCAAACTTAA